AACCAGATTTAAGAGTAGAATACACGAGCATTTAGACTAAAATTGACTTTGGAGTAGACCAAAGCTGAGACTCTAACGCTCTTCGGACCATATCTGAATTTAGACTAGATCAGACCTTGGAATAGATATGCTTTACACTAGACTTTAGACTCAATTTTCTTGAGTAAGTGTGTGTGTGTCGTGTACAATTATTGAGTGTAGTATTTGGAGCAGTGCGAGGTTGAAAATAGGTTTTTGGAAGGCCCGGGACCCTCTCAAGCGGGAGGGGTAGGAGGTGGGACCCTCTGTGAATGGGGGGGGGGGGGGAGAGTGTCGGAGCACCCTCACACTCACACACAAGATGGTCTTGTGGTGGAAACCTGAGCTGAGCCAGCAACTCCTTGACAACAGCTAACTCAACCTGACTTTGACAACAAAACTACTTCAACAAGTTCCTCTGGGGGCAAAAGAAAAACGAGCATTTGGGTTGTTCTCGTTGTACACTTTTTGAAAGATAGTAAGCATTGGTAGTTTTGTGTTAGTGAAAGCGGAATATAAGAGCAATAAACATCCAATGTAATTTGACGTGCGTTTGTATGTGTGTGTGCATGTGTGTGATTGAGTAAACCTGAACCAGGACCCGTGGAGCCAACAGGACCCAAATGACCAGCACAAAGACACACATTGGAAACCCTAAGACTGTGCAAACACACACTGCAGGTTGGTGTGACACTAACACTGCAGGTTAGTCTGACACTACTGTATTTGTGGTGTGTGTGTGTGTGTGTGTGTGTGTGTGTGTGTGTGTGTGTATTAGCCATTCAAGCTCAAGAGGAATTTCTCTGCATTCCAGACAATTTTGCACTCAAAACAAATGTACAAGTAGTAATAACATAAGTGAAGTTAAAATTGATTTTTTAAAAAAGTACATTGAAAAAATATGGTGTTGAATTTACTTAATTTTGTTAACTGGTTGCACAAAACAAAATCAGATTATTTATTTGAAGAAATAAAATTCAGTGTATTCAACAAAAACTTTTTTCAGTGTATGTACAAATTTTAAAAAGTACATATTAATATTTACTTTCACTACTTTATGGTCTTATTATCTCAGTAATAATCTTTGTCTTGCAAAACTAAAACGTAGATTTCATTAAAGTGAGTAGTTAATTATAACAATGAACTAGAATAAAAATTAAAATGAGTATTTATGAACATCTCTGCTGATGGCCAATCCCTAAAATAAATAATGAATAATTCGATTCAAAAACTCTAGTTTGCACTAGTCAAACAGGTTTATTTTCTCAAAATATTTTCACTTTTTTTCCCTCTTCTGCTTGATTCGTGTATTACTGCAGCCCTGTTCTCCTTCATCTACACCTATGCAACTACAAGTCTGTCTCTAAAGGGATAACATTGAAAAATTGGCCACTAAAATGAGCAAGTACGCTTCCTGGCCATGTAAAGCGCTGCAAGTGGAACATGCTGCATTGTTTTGCACGGCTCACACTTTGACTCAACATGGCCGTGATTGGTTTATGACACACTAAAGAGGCTTAATGCCTTCCCTGGACTGTCCCTCCCTGGGTCAAGGCTTGCGATTGAGGAACAACTGTTTTGGGCTTTCTGGATGGACAGAAGGCAAAATGTACTCACGGTTTGGGCAAATTCCCAAGTAGCAGTTTTGGAATGTGACCAAAATAATCAAATTCAAACCAAAATGATCGACTTCCTGTTCAATTTAGGTCTGAGGTCTTTGAGACTTTTTGTACGTCCTGTCGCGAAAGACACGTTCACCCAATTTGTTGTCGACTGGTGAAACTGGTGTCGGGTTCATTTTTTTCCGAACTTTCCAGTGAATAGTATTGAGTGAATTTGCCCAAATCGGTTGCTTCAAACCAAAATGGTTGACTTCCTGTTCAGTTTGGCCCATGAGACTTTGTTATGTGTTCTGGCATGATTTGGCATGTCTACCCAATTTTGTGTTGGATCAATAAAAGTGGTGTCAGGGGGCTGGTTTTTTTGGGAGGGGGGGGTCTACCTACCACACATTAAATGCATCTTTAGAATTTTGTGTTTTCATGTCATTATGGTATTGTGTCCTTTCAAGAAAGATGCCACACTTGCAAAAAAAAAAAACAATCAAAAGAGATTGACTTTTTTTTGTCTCATGATAACAGGCGGCATCCATCAGTCATGTGCAGCAAGCTTAGTGCTGATTGGCCGCTTGGGCTCACTCCCACCATCCTTTGTGTGTGGGACAAAAACAGCAGTAAATCAAACATCCCTTTTTGTTTTTGTTTAAATTAATTTTCTAAACTCACTTATGCCCCAAGATGCCATAACCAACATCATGGCAAATCACAATATGCACGGTTTCAGTGTTTAAAAAAAAATTGACTGCATAAAGCTGCCAAAAATGTTCATAACATATGATAACTGCACAAAATGAAGCTCCTCAACTCAGCTCAGCATCAAGATGCCACAAAAAATCCACTGTTATTGCTTCAGCATGAGCACCAAAACAGTAAATAGGTAAGTTTTTCTGCAAACAACTGTGCATGGATTTCAACCAAAAAAAAAAAAAAACAAACTAGATTTTTTTTCAATAGAATTTATTATACTCATTGTGATTCCCTCAAGGGAAATTCAATGTACTGTACAAAAGACACTTCTTGTTGACACCTCATGATGACGTAGGCACAAACCTGCCTGTTTATGATGTCAGAAAGTCACAGAACTGCGCAAAGTCCCGCTGCATAAAGTTGTGGCTCTGCAGGAGGTCATCCTCGGACGGGAAGTACTGCATGCTGTCCTCGTGTTGGACCACCTGGTCCTGCCGCATCCCACTTGGCGGTTTCGGTTCTGGTTCTCGCTCCAGACCGTCCGGCAGGGCTCCCCTGGCGTTCTCCAGGGCGCCCAGGTACGAGTCCATGTCAGTGAGCTCCGATTCGCTATCGGAGCAGCTTCCCCCGGTGTCGCTGCCCATGGAATCGGAGCGCATATGCATCATCTGGTACTTCTCGTGCATGAGGAACTGGTTGGTGTTCTTGGGGGCGCGCATGCCCCGAGCTCGATTACCTTGGACATTGATGGGCCGGAGGCGCAGCAAAGCCGCGCTGCTGGTGGGCCTCTGAAGTCTTCCGTGAGGATGAGGATGCTTGCGTCCTCTCAAATAGCCACCGGCCGCCTTGCGCTTCTCGCTGCGGGCCTGCACGCCACCCCGCCGGGCTTCTCGCCCGCACATCTCCTTTGAGAGCATCTTCCTTTAGAGTGAAGCTGCTTCCTTTGTTCACATCCTCAACAAAGAGGACTTTTGAGTGTCTTGCCGTCGCCCCCCGACCGGTCTACCTTTTGACAATTTTGTGGCTTTTCTTCTTCTTGACGTCTGGCTTGGGCCGACGCATAGCCCGCTAGTTGCCTCGTTTGCCCGCTTGCCTGCGAGCCTTCTCTTGCTGCGCGTCACGCCCTCCTCGGCCCTCGCGACGCTTGTCTTTTTCACCTCACAGGAATTGCACGCAGCGTCGCCTGGCGAGTTTTTAAAGCGAGTTATTAAGTGCAGTTTTAATTTTGTCGATGTTGTTTGTTTTTCCTGGGCGGTTTTCTTTTTTTTTTCCTTCAAGATTTGGGCTACGTGTTGTAACACTTAAATCTTTCTAAAGCATTCAACTGAACTGTGGCTCTGACCCAGTGAAGAGGACACTTAAAGGGATAGAACTATCCAGTTGGGTATTCCGAATGGGGGATAAGCCAGTCTACCTCCTATCCTGCCTTCTTTTTATTCGCGACAGCTACCTTCGCTTCATATATTTAGTAACGTTACGCAACATCTACGTCGTACTATGAAGTATTAGCACGTATGTACACGTTTTCGCACGTGCTGGCGTTTATGGTGGGGAACGTGTTGCCACCCAATCCCCCCCCGCCACATTTGTGCAAATGGTTCAATCCGCTTCTGCCCGCAGATGAAACTTGATCCAATTCTGTTTTCTTTTGAGCCTCGCCCCCTTCGATGATTGACACAAGCAGCAGAGTCACTCGACACAACATTCGACACACTAGTGTTCCCCAACAACTTTTTTGGGAAACAAAGTATGTTTAATGTGTTTCAAGCATGTGGGAGGAGTCTTAAAGCTTAAACTGATATTCACAAATCTATTTTTTCAGGCCAAAGCAAGTAAATTTCTCACTTTCAACGGAAATTATAAAACGTTATCCAACTTCATCTCCATAATTCAGTCACAACAGCAACAGACCTGATAATAGTATAAAATGTTAAAGGACCAATCTGGCACATCATAACAGGACATTACAATCAAACATATATATACTCTACATGATTATGTCATAAGCAGGAACGTCATTAAGCGTCGCCCAAGCTTGGATTTTCGTTCAGGAAAACTTTGAAAATCAAATATTAAAGGTGTCGAGTGACCCCATGTGGCTCAGATGCGTATTACATATTTGAATAAAACCTGTTAAATTGTCCTTTCATACACCGTATACAGAACTGAGTAGTCCAAAGGTGGATACAGTATACGCATTTTATTTATTGCATCTGCATTTATTAACATCTATTAAATAGATGGAGATGAATGTGACGTTATCGTGTCCTTTCGTCCTTCCTTCATCCTTACCCTCCAATTCTTCATTTCATTGACATGATAAAACTCCACTAGTTAACTTCTATTACTCCAGTAGTAGTACTCGTAGCTCATAGATATTAACTACTAAAGTACAGTACATGGATCTTAGGTCAGGATAGCGAATAAATATAAAAATGTTTTCCATAGAAGTCGCCTAGTTTGAGAAAAAAACTGCAATACAAGATATTACCTGAAGAGGGGAGAGTTGCGTCATATTTGGGTCCAAGCCATCACATTCGAGGAAAAGAAGAAGTCAGCTGCTTGGCGTGACAACAAATTAAATGGCAGCCGACGGCGAGCGAAGAAACTCAAGTTACGTCGCTAAAACCTCGATTCAAATGACACTGTTTACCCTTTGACAGATCGCAATTCTTGCCTCGACCATGGAACCCGTCCCGTTCACAGAGGAGCTGTCAGAAAGGAAAGTGTGTGTTGTTGGCTCTGAATTGGTGGAAAACTACACGGTAAGATTGGCTTCCGCCTTTTACCCTTAGCCTGTGGTTAAAAAAGGGTCGTCCGTCGGCGAGAAATTGTCGGTAAAACACGTCGTGTTTGAATCTTCGACGTGTTAGAATTACTGCGTCCTTGCGTTTCGTTTTCACTCAACTGTCGTTTTGAGTCTACAAGACGGACTGGACTCCGCGAGCGAAGCTGTCTGAATCCGAATCATCTTTGGTCAAGTACTGTATACTGAAACACAAGGAATTTATCGCTGGAAGTCGGTTTCACTGAAAGTATTATAAGCCCCCAAAAATGTATGTTTTATTACACGCAGTAATAAAAAAAATATTTCGGACGTTCATATGCACGAATTGGACGAAAATTCGAATGGGAACAGAAATCACATTCTTACGAATCAACAATGATGAATATTTAAATGGTTACAATGGTTCTGTCTCACAAATAGGCATTGTTAAAATAATACATACATCGTACATTATGTTTGATAAGTGATTCGTTGTCGATTAATTGTTGGGACTTCTACACGCAATACGTTGGTAAACAAGTCACGTAATGCACAGACTGGCTAACAAGAAGTGATCTCTCGGTCGCCGACGCACCGGCCAGACCGTGCGATTTCAGGCCAGACAAATTAAAAGTCGCAGATACTCTAATGTAGCATGTGAGGGTGGCTACCGTACAAAGACAACAATAATACCTACCCTCATATGCATATTTGGTTTTGGTATTCTTTCATAATTGGTCAAGTAGACAATGCCCAAGGTATTCGATAGCCGCAGCCTAAAGACAAAGTGAGTTGTTTGCCCTTTCAGGTTTATATCATCGAAGTGTTGGATGGAGAGCACAAGTGGACAGTGAAGCATCGCTACAGTGACTTTCACGACCTCCATGAGAAGGTAAACATGGAATCAGACCTCCCCAATATTTTTTGTCACAATAGAAAAACTAGGACTGTGCGACTTGATGTCTTAGGATGGAGTCGGTTAGTCTGCTTGTGAACATGTGGCTACACATCGTGGCCTACAGCAGCGAGTGTTCTCATGTTGGCAATTGCATGTTTTGACTGCATTTTCTTCTTTCCAGTTGGCGACTGAGAACAAAGTGGACCGGCATTTGCTCCCACCCAAGAAGATACTGGGCAAGAACTCCAAGAGCCTGGTCGAGCGTCGGCAGAAGGAGCTGGAGGTCTACCTGCAGGCGCTGCTCCGACAGTTCCCGGGGGCTACGCCCACTCCCCTCTCCGCCTTCCTTCACTTCAACCTTTATGTGAGTTTACACATCCCACGTTTATTTGATACTCCCAGTTGAAGTTTACTGGGAAAAGGACATGGGAAACAAAAAAAATTAAATATTGTGTACCGTATTTAAACACTATCTTGTTTCTAACAAGCCATATACAGTGAGCCCCACTAGTCGTGGGCGATTAGAGAGGGTCCACAATAATCTGCATAGAATTGGTGCCTATTACAAATACTTTATGGAAAAAAATTGGGGAGGGGGGGTCAAAAAATGTTTTCTTAACCCCCCCAAATTCTTGAATAAGTGGGGATATACCACCAATAAATCTTCTTCCCACCCCCCCTCAAAAAAGTGTCCTTTTTTTAAATCTGTCTGTCAATTTTAATCGTTTATCAAAATAGTTGATTAATTTGATAATGGATTAGTTGTTGATTATTTAAACATGGAACAGCATGTATATGTGTAGACAAAATGTGCATATATTCTCTCTCCTCTGAGGTATAGCTTCAAAAGTGACTCAATTTCCATCTCACTTATACCGATCTAAGGTTCTGACAATTCCATATTCTAACATGTAGTAAATCTCGCCAACATCCCTTTTAGCCGTGTCTAATCTGAACCAGTAAAGATGTCATGAGTTTATCCCATGACCGCGCAAGTGTAACAGTAGACCACTTGTTCCACCGTTGCCAAAAACATCGCCATGTGAGCCATGCTTATCAACATGTGAACATCACCATAGGTGTACCCAACTCGAAGGGGAGACGTGGATCATTTTTAAAGTTTTCTTGACTCCTGTCGTGTTTCTCACTTTCTTTCACTTGTCGCTTTCCGACGTGTTGTGTGAAACGGGTTTAACAGATGGCAAGGCGTATTCTGCAATTCAAGCTATTATTAACCACTCAAGATAATACGTCTTTCTGTGTGCTGGCAACACTCTGACAAGTTGGGGCAACATCTGCATTATTACATCGTGTTGAAAATCAGGCCTTCAAAATAAAAGCATTCCAAACTAATTTTTCAAAGTACTTTGTGCTCATTTATTGTGTGTGACTGTGAATTTAAATGACTGGCTGAGTGGAACATATCTTGGGGGAAAAAAGTATATTTATAAAAACTGGGAGAAAACAGATACACACACACACACACACACACACACACACACACACACACACAAAAAAGAAGAATCCTTTGAAAACTAGGGCATATGAGAACCAAGGTTCCGCTATATTTTTTAATGTACTTGAATAGATTTTTAGAGATTTATAACATTATTCATTGTTTTTCCTCTTTCAGGAGATCAACGGCATCACGGCTGCGTTAGCCGAGGAGTTGTTTCATAAAGGTTTGCTTCCTGCTTTTCTACTTTTTCATTCTTGTGATTAATTTGTCATGAAAACATCAAAACAAAAGCCAAATGGTGTTTGTTGGTAGGTGAAGAGTTGCTGGCTGCCGGCGAGGTGTTCTCTCTGCGTCCCCTGCAGCTGCACGCCGTCTCCCAGCAGCTGCGTCTGGCCAAGCCCACGTGCTACAACGGCGACGCCAAGACTGACCTGGGTCACATCTTGGACTTCACCTGCAGGCTGCGCTACCTCAAGGTCGGCCGCAAGCGCCACACCACTCCACTTTGCTCATGTTTTGGTTTTTGAATTGTCACCAATCACCCTTCAGGTCTGTGGCACCAGAGGTCCAGTCGGAAGCAGTAACATCCTGGAGAGGAATTTGCCTTTTGATCTGTCTTTTTTCAAGTCCCTGCTTCAGATTGAAGTAATTGCATTTACATTTTCACACAAACATTTATATTATGCGCTTTTTTTTCACAACTTAAAACAAGCTCACATAACATGCCTAAAATATATTAATACCCAGTAGAGCTTGTATATTTGTCACACAAACATATTCGGCATTTATTTCACAATTTAAAACAATTCCAAGCTGATTTATCATACCTATAAAATGTCAAGCTGATTTATCATACCTGTATAATGTTTTTTTTATTTTTATTTTATTATTATTATTTTTTTTTTAGTACCCCAAGGATCAGGAATGATTCCGTAATTCACGCACTCATTGGGTTTTGTTGTGGTAATTGTTGTGTTTAGAGAGGTAGGCACTTCCTATCTTATTTAAATGAGTCACAGTTCACTCCGCCCCACACACTGCTGAGCCACATGTGGCCTTTGTTACTGTGACAACTGGGGGGGCGAAACAAACAGCTTTGAGTACAGTGGAAGCGAGTGCTTGTAAATGGCAATAAAAGTCAAAGCATAATTAATAAGCTTTGGCAGTGATTTGAAAATGTGGCTAGAAATGTAAGAATTGTCTCTTCTTTTATTCAGATCAGCGAGTGCACAGCACAGCAAATTGGAGGTTTGTCGTCTCTGAGGGCCAGCCTGGTCACTCTGAATATCCACCACTCCACCGACAACATGATGGTACGCTTTACATAAGGACTCAGCAAACCTCTGCTCAACAGCCACCTTCGATTTTTCAAATGGACAGATGGGCTTGTCGTTTATAGAAGACATAAAAAAAAATAGTTGCTTCTAATAATACTCATTCTCTTATTTTTTTAATGTTTTGTCATTCTTTTCAGTTCAGAAGTTATTTAATACAATATATTTTAAAATTGTTTATATAAAATAGTTTATTTTACTACTGGATTTTAATTTTGTTATTTACCCTAAGTAAATGATTCAATCGGAAATGAATAAGTAACATTTCGTTCTAAAATAAAAAGATTCCAATCCAATTATTTATTGATGGAAATGATACTTACAAAGGTAATAAATGCATTTTAATCAAGGAATATTGCGATGGAAAAAAAAAAACACAAAATGAATGCAACAAATCCCAAGTTCAGCTGCATTTCATATGATCCGAAATTCATACTGCATGTTATGTGCTAATACACTTGCTGACCCCACCAGCTTGTCCTCGTGCCGGAAGCCAGCGAATTCCCTCAGTGGGAAGCCGAGGGCTCGGACCGCGGCTGTCCCGTGACTGCCGTGGTGCCACGCTGGCGAAACCTGACCACGCTGGACATGAGCCACAATACCATCGGCGCCATCGACGGTTCAGTGGTGAGACGCGGCCGCCGTCTCCCGTCTCCGCGTGGCTTTTCTTTCCTCTGATATTCTTTGAATGTGTCACCGCATGTAGAAACTGATCCGTGAGGTGGAGTTTCTCGATCTGAGCCATAACCAGCTTTCCTCGGTGGAAAACCTTCAGGTATGGATCGGCTCATTACCGTTGAATGCCGAGATAGAGAATGCCTAACAGTTGAGTGCAACTGAGTCGTTCCACGCCACGTATGTCTCTTGCAGCACCTGTACAATCTGGTCCACGTGGATTTGTCATACAACAAGTTGTCCGTCCTGGAGGCGGCTCACACGCGGCTGGGAAACATCAAGACGCTCAGCCTAGCCGGCAATCAGCTGGAGCGGCTCACGGGCCTCAGCAAGCTCTACTCCCTGGTCCACCTGGATCTCAGCCACAACCAGCTTGTTCAAGTAAGCGTTCATTTTTAGAACAACTGCCCACGTCACTTTTCTTTGCCAAGAATTGGTATTTGTTCGTTGGCAGTTGGAAGAAATCAGGAACATTGGCTCGCTGCCGTGCTTGGAGAAGCTCAACCTCTCCTCCAACCCAATTTGCATCATCCCCGACTACAGAACCAAAGTCCTAGCACAATTTGGAGAGCGAGCAGCAGAAGTAATGCGATCGCCGCCGCAATGTTGTGTGTGCGTGCGCGCTTGCGTGCGCGCGTGTGCGTTGAGTCACTCCTGCCTCTGTGTGTCAGGTGTGTCTGGATGGTCAAGTGACCACAGAGAAGGAGTTGGACACGGTGGAAGTGTTGAAAGCCATTCAGAAAGCCAAAGAAGTCAAAGACCGCATGAGCAGCAGCAGCGACAAGAAGGTAACGTTTGTTGTACAAGAATCAAAAGAAATCGAGTGATCATCCAGATCCGTGATTGCCGACCAATGTGCTGAGATGTCTGCCTTCCTGGTTGATGATTTGGATGGCGGCTGCTCCCTGAAGGCTTCCTCCTCTCTGTCCTCTCGTCAGATCAGTGAGGAGACCAAGGTGTCTGCTGCTGCACCTCCTTGCCTCTCTCTTCCTCCCTCCTCTACCTCTTCTTCCTCTTGCTACACCTCCGTTGTCACCCCTCATTCTTTCGCCTCTTCCGTGGCCTCCTCTTCTTGTCAGGCCCAGCAGGCTTCCTGCACCAGCCAAGGTAACCATTTGTGTGTCAGGCTGTGCACGGCTGCGGGATGGTGTCGTCTACTTGTAATTGCTTTCTTTCCTGGTTGTTATGATCCATCCATCTATTATCCAAACCGCTTATCCTCACGAGGGCCGCGGGCGACACAAAAAGTGCGAGGAAGCCAGATGCAAAAAGACACATGAAGTCTGCCGTTTTGATTGAAAGTGGAATTTTTTGTTGTTATTTTTAGGGTTCCTTTCGAAAACATAATGAAAGATTTTCCTCACACTGTGTCCTTATATCACATTAATGAATTCAAATTAATATTCATCCCCTAGAGGCGGTTAAATGAAATTTGGTTAACATATTCATCAAGAGTAGAACCACAAAAAAGTCAAAAACTTAAAGGGAGTCTACAATTTCTGCACCAAGTAGGATTTTTATAGCCCCTTTTTTGTGAAAATGTGACTTCCGGTAAATTGCGGAAGATTCAACTTTAAGTGGTTGTGCGTGTTTGGAGTGAAGCTCCTCCCCGAATGACTTCTTCACAACAAAAGCAACTCAAGTCTACTGATGTTGTGTGTCTTGTTTGAAGAAATGACCAGCCGAGAAGAAGCTGCTGTTCCACCTATCATCTTCCCTCCCGCACCTTCCTCCAGTGGGCGCCTTTCTCCTGCTGACAACACCCTGGTCAGATATCCTACTTGTTGCCATGACAACCATCTGGTTGTTTGGTTATTATTGTTGTTTGAATGTTTGTGTGCAGGTTCAAGACCCCGCCATCTGTCTGTCTGATCGTCTACACAACAACTCAGCGAACACAACTTCTTGGTCAGCAGCTAAATCCGATCAAGGCCCCCCCCCCTTTATTAGGAAAGCAAATCATCATTTGCTTTCCTCTTACAGTTGCCCGTGCTCCTGCTCCTCATCCTCCTCTAGCCTGCCTGAAGTGACCTGCCCCAGCTGCAGCGCCACCTGGTGTCCCCTGATCTCCTCTCACCTCCTCTCCCTTACCTTCGCCGACCAGCTCTTCACGGGCCTGCTCTCCAAGCGCCTCCACGCCGCCCTGAAGGAGCAAGATGAGAAGAAGGTGGAAGCTGAGAAAGAGGAGGAGGAAGTGTGCCCATCCGGAGAGGTTTCATCCCATGTGGAGGCCACGCAAGTGGACTGTCCGCTCTCCAGGGACGGTTACTTTGAGATGGGATTGGATGATTCTGTTCAGGACTCGTCTCTCCCTCCTCTTCCCACTGGGCTCAGTGTTCCTCCGTCGCACCCGTGTGATGACGAGCAGCAGGAAGAGAATATCAACAATGTGATTTGGTGCTACTGTCTTAAGGTGGAAAAGGAGGAGAAGGAGGTGGAGCAGAGCGTTGTGTGCGTGGTGTTGACGCACAATCTTTTATGCTTGCTGCGCTTATCACGTGATGGCAAGGGGACCGATCTGGGTGCAGGTAAATAAAGGAATGTTACTAGGGCGAGTTTCCCCTCTAACGTGATGTTAGCGCCATGATAACTTTGATGTTTCTAGTTAACGGATTGAGTCTCCTCTGGTATGGGCCAATAACTTTGGTCACCATAGTTGAACCCTCCCATACACCCTTTTGATTGTGTGTTTCCAGTCGAAGACCAGAGTCCATCCACAGAGGCTGTTGTGTCCAGTCTTGAGGTGGCCCTTCTGCTGCCTTTCTCTCACCTGCTGCTCTTCTTGCACGCTGAGCTTCCAGCTTCCTGTCTAGCCTTCGGGCCGCAGAATGGCGCCGCTTGCTATTACCTCTTCTCCGAGGCCCAGGAGCTCCAGAGAACCACGGTCGAGCTGAAAAGACTGACGCAGGTTACAGCGGTAGCAGAGTCTCCTCAGATCCTCCCCCACTCCCTCCTGAACACTTGGGAAAAGGAGGAGAGTCAGGAAGTTCAGAGAGGCTACTTAAGCCTCCTCCTGCCCTCCTCTTCCTCTTCCACCTCACACCAACTCCTGTCGGATGTTTTACCCAACACGAAGGCGCTCCCATCTCTCCTTTTTCTCACCCACCGACACCTCTGGGTGCTGAAGATGGATGTCACAAAGATTGCAGAGCGAGAGAGAAGCACCGCCGGCCTTCATCGGGACTGGTGCAGGCTGGTCCGCGTACCCCTCGGCTCGGTGGTGCTTCACCCCAACCAGAGAGCTCCTCGGGCTGGGAAGTCATGCCGGCAACCTGAACACCACCGCAGGTAAAAAGGGATTTGTAATTGCGTCTCGATGCCGTGAAACGGTGGTGGAGCACTTAAAACTATTCGGATCATAAAGCATCAACACCCGACATTTACAGCAGCATGTCCACAGTCATGTACCCATGGTGCATAAATGACTGCACTCAGTAGTTAAATTATTCAAAACGGACAAGCCATCTTCACACGATGCTCATTCATAGTAGTAGCTGGCAAATATTACTGTATTTGAACCGGCGGTGTTGTGTCCAGATCGAGCCACACGGCCGAGCTACTGCTGGCTGGTGGCAGCCTGCTGCTGCTTTTCCCGCTGGCTCAGGACAACAGCTCCTTCTTGGCGGAGCTGAACCAGCGGAGAGTGGCTCTGGAGGGACTGAAGATGGTGGCGCTGCCTGTCCCTTGCAGATGCTGGCCGCACCAAGAGGAAGCCACACAGGGTGAGGACAACCTTTCTGTTCGATTAAGAACAATAATTGTGACTATTTCTCTCAATCTAATTATCGGCTCGATGACATAAATGTACCCAACCCTTGCTTTAGAATGACACCGAGTTTGCTTGCTCAGGTCACAATAGAAATCCTGTTGACCAGTGCTGTTGTAGCAGGAGCAGAAGAGCACACAGCAACAGCAGGTAAGCAGGTCCATCCGCGTTTGCTTCATTTACTCTTATAGCAGCGCCTTGATTTCTGAGTGATCCAATTTCCAGCTACAAGCTCTCACTAAGTTGATTTTATCATTATATTATTGGACGGGGATAATCTGACACAAAACTACAAGAAGAACACACTCACAAGGAGCATGGCGTGGTAAATGACTCAAACTGCCGAAGTCACTCAGTAAGCCACACCCCTCAATGGCACACAGCAGCATGAGTACAACAGTGTGTGTGGGGGTGTGTGAGAGAAAGAAACCAGTTTATTTCTTTCTATTCTACAAAGCAGTGCTACATTTTTTTTTAACTCATTCAGTATCAGCCAATTCGAGACCAAGTCTGAAAAGACGTTTAAGAACGTCTTTGGGAGTGCATGAGTTAAGAGCCTGCATCTCCTACATGGTCCTCCCATCTCATCATGATGTTTCTTCTTGCAGCTCGTCTCGTCTCCGACTGGAAGAGAACCAGCTATCCTCTCACCTCACCCCGGGCCTCTCCCCAGGGCTGAAACTTCTGGCTGGGCTCGACGGGGAACTGCTGCTGACGTACTTCCACAGACATATATCACTGGTAAGGGCGCTCACTTTGGAAATGATCCATCTTGACTCTGACACCAACTTTTTCTGCCAAGGAAGTGTTATGTTGAGCCTGCGTTGCTAACGTAAGAAGAGGGAGCTTTGCTTCAACTATAAACATAATTGGAGTGCATTAAAAAAACATTTTTTTTTAATTCTAATCATCAGTAAGCCATTTATTTTTAACTGCAATTCTCTCAAAGTTTGACATGATATGAAACTATTTCAGGAACTTCTTCTGGTATAATGCTAGTTAACGTTGCCAATTATGAGTAGCAATGTACATCAAGGAAGATGACTCAAGTGTTTAATTTTTTAAAGTCCGAGGAGGCCGAGGTGCGGCAAGTCTTGTGGCTATCTGCCGTTCTCTACGCTGCACCCGAGGCAGAACTGGCCTGCTGCCTTTTTCTCTCTACCGAGAGCGTCTACCTCCTTTTGGAAGACTCTGCTGCCACTCACCACTGCCACACAGGTAATAATGTGCCTCAACATCAACATCCATATAAGACGCAATAAAAGCACCTCATTCATTTTAGAAGCAGTAATTCTCAAACAATATGGTTCATCAAGTGTGCTGCGGGAAGTGATTCATTTAATTGAACGACTGAAATAAATTCAGTGTTCCACAATTTTCCAATTGAGATGCACCTACATAGTACGGTGTAAAACCGTCAAGAGGATGACTTCAAAATACTGTCGTCTAATTTGAAATCAGAAGAACCCTCCCCAAGCTTTGATTGGGAAAATGCTCAGAATGCCCTCGCTATGAATCGTTTGGATATCTTTCTCATCTGTCAGAAATGGACATGAGCACTTCTCCAGACCCAAACGTGTGCCTTTGCTGCTGCCTGACCATCCGACTCGTCGATCTGCTCTCTGTCAATGTGGGATTGTTCGATCAGTACTTCAGGCTTGTAGGTCAGTCTTTGGCGTCCTGGTTAATGCACTGCGGGTCTGATGTACTTGGATCCGAAAAAGCTGGCGGCACTGGGTGTAAGAATGGTGCGAAGGTCATGTTTAAAAGAGGATTCTGCACTTTAGGTAGCTCTGATGCTTTTCATTATGGAAAATGTAAGGTGTCGTGATCATTTTTGTTTGTGGCATTTCACAAATGTTCATTCCAGTGGAAAAGATGCATTCTCCACTCTCATTTTGCCTGTTCCTCCTCTTCATAAAATCAGCCTCCACAATTCGTCAAGAGATTTCATAAATAAAAGAAAGCAACTCTGCTAAGTAGATCTCTTTGTATGCGCTCCTCGTGTTTTAACTGATCAAAACTACTGTCATGGCTCTTTTGCCCGTTTGGCAGACACAATGGCCGGTGCATCCAAGTCGTCGATCAGCTTTCTCATCTCTTTGCATGAGCGATCGAGTTTGTTTTTGCAAACAGGCTCTGAGTGACCCATGTCTTGCAAAACATTTGCTGCATTTTGCCTGCTCATCTCTTATTTTTTTCCCCATTTTGGCTCTGCAGGCCGCTCGGCCGAGCACATTGTTTGCTGCCTAAGTAGGGACAGTTATGGCACAGGGCTGTTTCTCCAGGAGCTGATGTCTGTGCTCAGTCTGCAGCAGAAGCCGACAGCTCCGGAGCCCTCGGAGCAGGACTTCTACTCGCAGTTTACCAACACCAGCTCAGGTAACAAAGATGTGATGCTAATTGTCAGTGACGTATCCCCTGAACATTGAATTTTATGCGATGCATCGTAAAAAAAGAGAGACATTTTTCTCACTGAATATTTTTACCATAGGAAAATTGTCAAAAAAGGCCATGTCTTAAATTTTTAATTTATTTCTGATCGCACTAAATTATTACAAGATTTGTGCCCCCGACAGGCAAAATGCACAACTACGAGCTTGTCCACAGCAGCAGGGTGAAGTTCATCTACCCCAGCGAGGAGGAGATGGGCGACCTCACCTTCATTGTGGCTGAGAGGAAGCCCCCCCCCGCCAGTGCGGCGCCTTCTTCCTCGTCTTTGTCATCCTCGTCCTTGTCCTCGCGTTCCTTCAACGTGCTGCTGTACCTGCTGGTGTTTCAGGTGTTTACTCTTTTGGGGGATGCTGTGATTTTAGAGCTTCGTAGAAATGAAGTCTCGAGCGGATTTTCTCCCGACTAGGTTCAGCTGGAGAACGAGCAGACCTCCAACAGATCTCCCGTTCTCCAGCCCCGGACGCTGATTCTGACCAGCACAGACATCTTCCTGTTGGACGAAGACTACGTCAGCTATCCGCTTCCAGACTTCGCCAAGGAGCCGCCGTCCAGGTGAGATTCCCGTTCCCTCCCCAATTGCCCTTCTCCTTTCTTGTAATCGATTGTCAACCGGCCACCCCTCTCTCGTAGGGAACGTTACCAGCTGCGGGAAGCCCGGCGGATTCGCGACTTGGACCGGGTTCTGCTCGGCTACCAGACGTACCCTCAGGCCCTGACGCTGGTATTCGACGACCTGCCGGGCCCAGGCTTGCTGTGCCACCTCACCATGGACCACTTTGGGGTGGAGGGCGAGGAGCGCCTCCCGCCTCCGCCTCCCCCTCCGTGCGGGGGTGCAGAGGGTGAGGTGCAATGGTGCGTCTTTGTGCCGGGAGCCGACAGCCGTGAGAGACTCATCTCCCTGCTGGCTCGCCAGTGGGAGGCGCTGTGCAGCCGAGAGCTTCCGGTGGAGCTCACCGGCTGATTGGAGTACAAAGAAAAGAGCGCAATGGGAACGGCGCCAACTTGACGCAGGTGCAAACTTATATAAATGAGTCAATCGCTGTGGATTGTCCAGAGACGCACCTCTCATTTGTCCCAATGCTAATGGAGATGAAAGGAGGGCAGCCATTTTGGACCACGGTGATGAAGCAAGAAAAGTACAGATGAAAAGGCATAAGAAGAGTGGCCGTTTTGACGCATGACGTTTTGTCCCCGCTGCTGAAAGATGACGAGGCAAAACGAGGGTGGCCATTTTGGATCGCGGAGGTGAAACGGGAAAAGGCGTGACGGACAATTTGACTTGTGAAGTTTTTGCGTGGGCCATAGTGACTCTCAATGCTTTGTCTCGTTTTAATGGAGGTGACGCGGCAAAACTAAAGGGGCCATTTTGACTCACATAGATGAAGAAGCAAATGTGGGGTGGCCATTTTGACGGTGTACCGCTGCTAACCAAAATGAGAGGCAAACAATACAAAAGTGGCTCTTTTGACTTTTGGGTTTGGGTTTGCGGGATAATTTATCCCAGCCAAGTTTCACTCTCAAAAAATATTGTCCCGCCCATAGGAGATGCAAACCAAGAGCGGCCATTTTCTCTTAGGACAGTTTCAAAGAATTTTCACGCTTTTCATGAATGTTTTGAATGAACGATCAAAACTTGCACTGCAAAAAACACACTGCCAGGTTTGAAAAATCTTAGCTTTGCATCGGGCAACACATGCATGCACGAATAAGAGTTGCACCGTGTGATTTCGACCTTTTTCTTTTGTCATGCACATTCTATTTGCTGCTTTGTCTTTCAGTGAGAGGGAAGGAGAGAGTTCTAGAAGGGAAATGTTGCACAAGCCATCAATGGACACTGCAAGAGGGAGAAAAAAAGTGCGCTGTCACTTTTACGAACTTGCTTCCTCCTTTCGTACCATTCGGTGAGTGAAAGAATCCCAGACATGCACAATTTAGTGTGCCAAGATACACTTTTCACAATATCTCAAACTTTTTCTGAGCAGTGTAGTGTCAGGCAGATGGACTCTTTCAACAGGGGGCGCCACAGACATTACTTGATTTTAAAAGTTCATCTTCATTTGTATGGAATGCTGTTGTTCGGACAGAAAATGGACAGTTTGCATATTAACCAACTTTTAACCCCCCAAAAATTATACTGTGGAAAGTTTACATTGACAACCACTATATGCATAAAAAAAAATGGAAACTCGCACCAAGCATTTCAGTTCTTTGCACTTTCCGAGATTTGCTGAACAAAGTAAAGAAGCTTTTTATTGGTGTAATTGATACAGCTACTGGTCAAATTATTAAGTACTCTGACACATTCATGAGTTATACACAAAAAATATGAAAAATCTGCCTTTACAAAAATAAGGCTTGTTTTTAATCATTACCATCAGGTAGCTTTTTTTTATTTATTTATTTTTTTTTATGTATATTGGATCGCCTGAGACCGTGTACCTAATGAAATGTCCAGTGAGTGTAACTGTTAATGGTCTGGATTATTATCTCTTTTTTTTTTTTTTTAAGTGTTATTTACAACACGAATTTGTATTGTGTATCATTATTATTATTATTTTAAATATATATTTGTTCTGCTTTATGTATGTTTTTTTGTATTTTTATATTTTACATTTAACCGGTTGGTCAAAGTAAAAATCATCCAAACTTCATGGTGATTGTCATCATCTTTACTGTTAGTTTATAGGCAAATTTACTCATTTAAAAAAATATAAATAAATAAAACAAAGAAAAGTATATTTTCGCAAGATAATTTGAGAAGTTGGAACGTGAATTTGGAAAATTCTGAATTGAAATTTGAACATTCCCCCAAAAATCTAAATATTTACAGTAGGAGATCTTTCAAAAACATTCAGAATATTATGAAAATTGAGTCAAAATTCTTCCAAGTCACTAATCATATTTTCGAATTTAAAATACCCTCCCAAAAAGTAATTTCAGTTGGCTATTCCCTCCCATCCTCCATTTTGCAGATACTTTGTGTGAAATATAATCCAATGAAATAAAACCTTTTAACTATTGGTGTCAGAGGACTTGTCTGTTGTTTAAAATGCTGACTCGTCTTTGTCCCGAGACAAAAGCATCCGAGAAAAAAAAAAAAAGTTCCCATCAGCACTTGCTCTCGTCGTCGCCGCTGCCTCCGCGATCTTGATGACTGTGCAGCCTGGCCACCTTTTCTACTTTTTCTCGCTTCCTTTCAGCCTGGCTGTGAAGCGTTGGTCCGTTTCCGCTTTGAGGGACACTCGCTGTACTGTACTGGAAGTGTCCGCTCAGCAAAAGTCTGACCGTATGCCTATCGACCAGCGCAAGGGGCTAATCGGAAATCGGGCCGAGCGAGTGATACAAATTAGCACAGAAGCACTTCACGTTCACTCAACAAAAATGTGTTCTGGTTCGATACGGCAAACTTGATGAGGTCTGCTTGTTTCTCGTGTAATAGTTTACGTTCATCTTTGCGGTCCGCTTTCTTGTCTACTTGTGTATTAGCGCATACGGGTGTCTTGTCCAGGGGGACCATCACAACCAAAGTCTTTGTACAATGATGACATTTATTTCAGCTGCAGTTGATGGAGAAACACCATTTACAGATCTGTGATGGAATGACTCCATAAGCAGTGGGCTGCGGCCCCTCTCGCGCCATTTTTTCCCCTTCTTGGTAGGGCTTAAAGTGTAAAACGCACTTGTGAGATGAAAATGATACTTTATTCAGAAAAGAATCTAAATCACTAAGAATTTGGAGAAAAAAAGAGTTCTAGTTCCTCTTGTATTCTCTTTTGATATATTTTCTCAACTTTTTCAAACCTTCCGATTAAAATTAAAATGGTCGCAGTTTTACTATTTTCTTAAAATCAAAATGGTCGAATTTATTGGACTCTTTTTCGGGAGGCGGTAATTCAGTTAAAAAACAAGATTTTTTTCCCCCCCAGATTTCTTGGTAGATATTTGGTATATTACAAGACTAAGGTCAAATAAATCATCAAATTTTCCTGTGAAATTTGTATTTTGATCTAGTAATTGTTGATCCTTATTTTTTTTTTTAAACACCAAAACATTCTGCCTTTTTTTTCTCAAAACAAATCTGACATGTTTTCTTTCACAGCGTCTGGCTCCTTCCATTTGTTAAATTGTCCTGCACGTCTGTTCATTGCCCCCCATAACCCAGGATCACATTTTTTTTTCTTTTTTGAACCAGATAGTTGGGCCAGTGCAGAGATCTCGTGCACTATTGTAGAATCTGCCGAGTATGGTGCCACGCTTTTTTTTTTTTTTCCCCAGCGGCTTGTGACGATGCTTATAAATCGCCTTGTCACTTTTCATCGTATTCTTCTTGTCCACATCCGCCATTTATTCGCTGATGGAGTTGTTTGCGAGTTGAAGACCCTCGCTTGGATCTCCCTTCCTCTCACACCTCGTGTTTTCATAACTTTATCATGGCCCGCACGCACATGCGCATGTTGTTACACAACGGGCCCGACGATAACATTCTCGAGGCGTCCGTTCCGTCGCGTGCGTGTCGGTTCTCGTGGCAGATCTGGCAACCTCGGGGCAAAGCCGCCCAGCTGCGATACGCTGATGAACTTTATCAAGGTGCCGCAGCGACGCCGGGTCAGATAAGCGGAAAATACACGCTTATACCAAGGCCGGCTTGGAATCAAAGCCCTTCAATCTGTCCCAAGTCCGTCTTGCCATCTTAATGCTCAATCCACAAGGCGGCAGGCAGCTTTAAGGCGTTGGTTAACAAGGAAATGTCAGTATGCCCTCGCGTTTGTTTCCCCTAATCTGCTGCTTGCCGTTGACATTTTGACCCTCCGATGTTCTTTCGAGAAGAATATCGGAGGTCCGGTTGTCTTTACTATCCTTGCTGCCTTGCTCGAGGGACCTCTGAAGCAGAGCTGAAAGGTTATGAAAGCCACAGAAATAAGTTGAACCACTTTTTAAAGAAATTGTGTTTTAAATTTTGAATTTAGTTTAAATAAGCCAGTGTCACTTAGCAACAAGACACGGGAACTCCATTTAAAGGCAGCGGTTTTCCAGCGACCCCTCTTTATTTATTTTTTTCCCAGCCCCTAACTCCTGCTCCATGAAAATCAATGGACATGTCTAACAGTGAGTAAAAAAAGTCTCAAGAAGCCAGACCCGAAAAGTCAGTACACGTCTTTCATTGTGCTTCGGAGCAAACGTTTTCCAGTCATTTTGGCTTCTTCCGGGGATCCATCATAGACAAACTTGCGCAAAAGATTCTGCCCAAATCCGACCATATTTTAACAACATATACACATTTTTCAGATGGACGACTCTAAATCAGGACAGAGATGAGTTTTTGTAATTGTGTGTGCAGCCAAGTTTGATGACTCGCCATAAAAAAAAAACAAAAGTGATGATTTGGCTAGTTGGCCTGCATCCTAATAGGTGGGAAAACTATTTAAATTGTCAGCATTGGACCGTCCGTGCACTTCCTGCTATTGTTCCTGGCAGCACGACCTTTTGACCTCTTGCCCGCTTGTTCCCGACGTCGGCGTTAAAGCCAGGAAAGAAAGTGCTTCGCGTTCCTTTCTTTCTTTTTGCGCAGCCGTGGTGTCAGCTCGTACGAGGAAATCCGTCCCAATTGCGTCGGCCCGCGGGGACCGCCGCCACCGGCGAGGGAAGGGAAATCCGCCCTAAACTTCCTGTCAGGAAAGAAGGATTTCTCGCAATCTGGCTGCCGTTTACAAAACGGAGGCCTGCAACCTTCTCTGCTCACTCAGAAAGTAACTGAAAACGTTCCAGAAAAATTCCTTCTGCCCACAAAAAAAGAAAAATGACAAGCGGAAGAAGAAGGTTAGGCAGGCCGTGTGGCAGAATTTTTCTTTTTTTTTTTTTTTTTTTCTTAATAGACAGATGGGCCAACTCATTTAGAGAGGTACTCAAAAATAAAAGACTCATGATCACTTTTGATTTTATTTGCAAATCATCTACTTAATTTTTACCAATTAATACAATAAAAAATGTAACTGACCATGAATTTGTTTATTTAGTATTGTTTCAAAAAGTAACAGATTTTTCCTTTTTTCAAATTTATAAATACTTAATTTGACCAGTTGCTTAGTAAAATAAAATTGTGCAAGAGTTGACTCTTTTTCTTATTGTATTAACCATAAATTAACACATTATTTTAATGAGTTAATGAGACTAAAGTGGATATATTTTAATTAATACCTTTCGGGGAAAAACATCAAAATGAACAACAAAAATGACTATCTCCTTAAATTAATTGATTTGATTTAATTTTACCAAATATGTTGCATGCAGGTGTACAACCCCTTTTTTTTTTCTTTACAAATGTTATTTATTTTATTGATAATTCTATTTTAACAATTTCTATCCTTTAATTAGCCTATTTAAGAAACATGTTTGCAAATCCCAAATATGTTTTGGCACTGAAAGTGTATTTTCGTTTTTCTTTCAAACAATTATTACCTTTCCAATGATTGCACCTGCCAATAACTTCCAAACTCACGAGTCAAATGAATAGATTTTTCAAAAATGAAATTCAGCGGGCTGTGTCTTTAGCATTCTTGATCAAATCTTATGAAAATGATCCATAATCGGAGTACAGTAGCGGGGAGGAGCAAACGTGTCACTGGGTTGTGTTGTGCTTTTTCAGTTTCCCTTCCGCCTCTTCCTTGATTAGAAAGGAGAGGGAGGGCCGACACGGTCGACACGACATGACGGCCGCAGCTTCTCTCTGGTCTCTCATGCTCACTTTGTCCCTTTTATCGGAATACTTGTAGAGATCCCGCGACAGGCTTGTTTTTTTTGTTTGTTTTTAATATATATATATATA